CCTCTGACCGAGCTTATTTTATTAGAAGATAACACCCGAGTCTGCATGAACCCCTTACTAAGGCGCTAAGCCCCAGTCTACTTCCCTCTTTGGCAATTTGTCATTTTGGCCAAATTAGTCAAATTACCTCTTGAAGTGACTAAAATCATATAAAAACAATATTTTCCAGAAGTTAATTCTTTTTTCCATCTTGTGTCTTAGTAACTTTTACTTTAAACTCTCCGCTACATTCACCTTTGTAAGATACAGTCACAGTCTTTTTATTTTCACAGGCCCCTGCTTTCATAGTGCACTTGAAACTGTAAGTTTTCTCATGTGTTCCATACACAGGACGATATTCCTGTGTACAGACCATATCGCACCCCTCTAAAGAAAGTAACCATACATTCAATTTAAACACTGTCACTTTGACAAATGATAAGCATTGAACCAAAGCATACTATCACAACAAAAATTTTGCTGTTACTTTCTTTTGTTTTCACCAGACTCTTGGATTTTTGTTCGTGTCGCTAAACTCAGTGGGTAAACCATATGCGAGAAGAACGTGAAATACTCACCAACCACAACACTATTAAAAAAAGTACTATTATTTGGATTCTTGAAAATTACTTCATTTCCAGGATATTCATTAAATGAAAAGATAGACCATCTGATTTAAAACACGCAGAGGATGGGGTGTGCAGGAATGACTATTTTGGCTTTCCACCACAACTGCCAGGCATACTAGTTTAGAGGGGCAATAATTTCTCCGCATACATTTCCTTTGTTCCTGGGCTTGTTGATACTCTGATCATAACCATTACAATTTCCTCAAATGTGATTAGTGCATTAACAGCTTTACTTTTCACTAATCATTCTGTAGAGTTGTAATTGGACGGTGTGATTGGACAATTGGCTGTAATCGAACATCTGAGTTCAGATGGTTAAAGCAGCCATATGACCTCTTGGTTAAATCCACCTATCATAATTGACTACAATAACCATAACAAAAACTGCTTGCTCTACTTGGTCCTATTAAGTATTACCATTATTAATTGCTAATTTCTGAGAAATTTCTCTTCATGTATTAGTATCTTTCAGCTACTGCGTACTTCAATCTCAAAAATTAAGATTCTTCAAATGCTTTTTTTCCTCTACATTTGTAACTAAACTTTCTATCAATAATCAATATATTTGAAGCCTTTGATACTAACTGCATTTGCCATTGTGCTTCACCATTATTGGGGATTTTTTTTCACAAGCCTGACGATTCATTTCACACTCGTTGCCGTAGGTTTTACCATCAGTTCCACACACTGCAGCATATATCTCGTCACAGGCCACATCACAAACACCTGCAATAGGGCATCTAGCCTTCTTGTCATGGCTATGAGTCTCGCTGAGGCATCCCAAGCACGAGTCCTTCAAAATGATGATTGAGTTGAAATTAAATCTCTGCCCATAGAGTTAAACTTCACTGTTGAGTATAATTTTATGATCTACCTGAACAATTACCTTGAACCAGCTAGAAAATCATACTACTCAAAAGCTATTTATCCCACAGAAAAAGAGTAGAATATCATTCCAAACCCTTTCACTAATTTGTCTCAACACATATGCCATATATATAATTATACACCCGATGAGAGAGGTATGCACCTGACGAGAGAGGACTTTTTAACCCTTTCGAAACAGATTTGTAGTGCGACGTTTTAATTTTTATTTTCCTATACAATTGTTTACAAAGCTCTATGATTGTAGAGCACTTTCTGATTCGACGATAAGGTTTTTTACGTTGATATATATATTAAGTATAATTTCAGAGCT